TATCTCAGGTCTTTTTATGACAACGTCATTCCTAATCTCTGCTGCCCCCAAACATTAATTTTCTTCCTTTTCAGATAGTAACAGTTTTAAAAATCATTTTCTGCTTGACAGATAATGCACTTGCATGTTCATATCAAGATGGTATTTTTCATGTGACTTCTCAAGAACAGCAGTTCTTCTTCCCACATAATCTGCCATAGTTTCATCCTATTTCAATCTGATTTTAATTTGGTAAAACAGCGGAAATGTACACGTTTGGCTGCCAATTCTACAAAAGTATCAAGCCCATAAAACTATAGTTAATGTAGTAATAGTAACCAGAGATTAACACACTACAGAGTAAATAAAAGTATACAATAAATTGAAAATCTCAGTCACGGTAGTGAACACACACTTAGTAGAGGGCCAACAGTTAAAACCCCATATATATATTTTTATTTTTTTTATTTATTATTTTTATTATTTATTTATTGTTGGATTTATATTCTACCCTGCCCACAAGTGGGTTTAGGGTGGGTCACAGGAGTTAAAATGCCACATAATAATAAATACAGTACATACAGAGTTAAAACGTTTAAAACCAATAAACAGCAGAAGACTTGATTTCCGGCGTCCACAAACACCTCCCACGAGTGCAGGGCACAGGGTGACTGAAACAAGCACCCATTCAGCGGATGCCGTAGCGATCTGTAAAAGAGGGCCATTCACCTGGACAGTGTAGGCAGTATTGAGAACATTTTGGGTCTGATTAATTGATTACATTGTTACTTTCTGGACCAGAATTGGAAGATACACAATAGTAACATCTTTTACCACCTGTGCATATGCACTAGAGACACATGACTTATTCCCAAGACGCCTCATAAATATTCCTGTCTTGTGTCTATTAATCTCGCTTTGGAACCTTCCTTTTTTGGTCCAGTATTGACATATTCTTTGCCAATTCTTTGTAATGTGCCTGTTTGTACCTTAAATTGGTTGATGTCTGAAGAAGGCCTTATCGGGCCAAAATGCATTCTTGTGTGTATGATTGTCCTTGTGTGTATGTCATTTGAACTTTGTAATGAGGCGTTCATTGGGCTCTTATGTTTTTTAACTTTTCTCAAAATAAATACATGTATTTTTACTTATAACAAGTACATTTGAGGTTTTAACTATTGGTCCTCTGCTAGGTTTCATTCCTACCTTTCTCGATTCAACTTCATTGGTTTAAGGTTTTTTCTCCTCCCTGTGTCTTTGTAAACACACACATAACAGAACTCAGCTATTTTGCAGTACAAGGTGTTGTTGTTTTTTAATTACATGGATATAGGTCTTGAGAACCTGCTTTCTTTGGTTACTGTGTCACCTTATTTGAACTACTTGATTTTGAATCCATTGGATCAGGCACCAAGATTTTATTTGTACCATTCTGCGAAGACAAGATACTAATCCCCCCACAGAGTGATTAATTGATTGTTTACTTAGCGTGTTTATCCTGCCCGTTTTCCGAGGAGCTCAGGGTGGCAAACGTCAGTCTCTGCCCATTTTACCTTCACAGCTACCTAGTGAGGAAAATTAGGCTGAGAGAATGTGAAAAGTACGGGTTCCGTTTCTGGTACGGCGCATCGACGGGCGGGTGTTCGGCGTGCTCCGACCCGCCCGACGCTTCAGTGTTCTTTTTTGAGTCTCCTAGTACTGGGAGAGCTCGACCAGCGCTCTCTGACAGAGTGCTGGAGCAGGGGGCTTTGTTACTGGCCCCTCCCGCGATTTGGCAAAGCGGGGGGGTGACCGGATTTGCTGAACAGTAAGCTATGTTGGAAGAAATGGAAGTGGTTGATATGATAGAGGGGATAGACGGAGACACAAAACTTTGTGATGTCACGTGGGAACAATGGGAACAGTTCCAAGAAATTTTGGTGAGAGAAATGAAACAAACATTTAAACTGGCTTGTGAGAGCTTTTTGAAAAATCCCCAGAATGAAATGATGGAGGCGAAGGAAGAGGAAGAAACAACACAGAGAACTGAAGAGCAGGAACCAGAGCAGGAGAAAGAACTATATGTTGCTCAGTCTGTACATATAAAAGAAGAGGCACAGGAAGGAGACACCTCTAAAGGTATATTGGAAGGACAAGGAAAATTGAAACCAGAAGTAACAAACAAAAGTTTGTGGAACCCACTTAAGAGAAAAAAGAAGATGCAAACCAGAGGGGAAAAATTAAAGAAAGGTGTGAAGAAATATAAAGTCCCCAATCAATTATAGCCGCCCTGAGCCTACGGGGAGGGCGGGATAAAAATCTAAATAATAAATAAAATAAATAAATACATGTAAGCGGATATGGAAGAGATAAGTTGGAAAAGAAAATTTAGGAGTACAAAGATCAACGACATGTAGAAGAGAATAGGAAAAATCAAGATAAAAAGGAACTGGAGTGTAGCATTGTTGTAAGGATTAAGATGGCGAACTAATAAATTTGTTGACTATTTCTTTTTGTCTTCTGATTAACCTGATGCTGGGAACGCTAAAGGATGAATGTACTGAATCATTTGTGTTTGCAGGATAAGAAATTTGTTATATATGGGGTTTTGCAAGAATGAAGTTCTTTGTATTTATAGTTTTGCTTTGAATAACTGCATCTTAAAGTAATTGGAAATGGAAATATTTTGCTGGCAATGGTATTAATATATGTAGTATTGTGAGGAATTAGGGATGGAGTGATTTTTCTGTTTTTTTATTTTGGTACTGGGAACTTTAAAGGATGAGTGGATTGAATTATTGTGTGTTTGTTTGATAGGAAACTTGATATATATGGGTTTCTGTATGAAGGTAGTTTTGGATTTAGTTTTTGGTTTTGAATAACTGCATCATGAAAAAACTAGAAATGGAAATTATTGCTGGCAACGGTAGTAATATATGTAGTATCATGAGGAAATTATATGGCTGCTGGGAATGTTAAAAGATGGTCATATTGGATAAACTAGGGGTGGAGTGATAGGAATTATGCTTTGTATGGGTTTATGGAAGAAAACATTTTTGTGTTTGTAAACTTTGATTCAATAATGATAACATAAAGTAATTTGAAAAAGAAATTATTGATGACAATGATAGTAACAGTAGTAGGATTATGATTAAATGTTTTAAGGTTATATTTCCTGCTAATTAATATACAAGTGTGTTTTGTGTTGGTATTTTTGCACGGGATTTGAATGAAAGGTAGTAAATTAAATGTGGATTGGGATTTCTAAAGTGGATTGGTATGCTTAGAAGTGCAGTGATAGGAAGGTTGTTATATGGAGGTTTATTTAAGAGTAGAGTTTTGTACTAGGATTGGTGTGTCATAATATTATTTAAATTTAAGTAAAAATGAAATTTATTGTGGGTAAGAGAGTAGAAACCAGTAATATGAGAATTAATCTGCTAAGAAGCATTAAGATTATTATTTTATTTTATATATTATTTTTGGAATGGTATTTTTGGTTGGAAATCTTTAAATTGTTCCATTAAAGGATGAGAGTGATAGATAGTAATTATGATGTGACAAATACGATGTGTATATTCCAGCTGATTGTGTGTTTTAAAAAGTGAAATGAATTTACTAAAGGTGATTTTGATTTATAGATAAGAATAAGGAAAATGGCAGGAAAACAGATATACAAATGGATAAATTTATTGATCAAAATATATGATGAGGATTGTGAGTGACGCAATGTGAAATGATAGTTGGTTAGTACAAGAATGGAGACAAATTTAAAATAAGATTAAGTTTTCAACCAAATTGTCAATGCGGTGTATTGTGAAAAAGTCTTATTGTTGTGATTTATGTTTGTGTGTCTATAAAGCATAAAAACCCAATAAATATATTAATTTTAAAAAAAGAATGTGAAAAGTACGCAGACGGAAAGTGATTTCAGCAAAGCGTACTTTATTCGATCAGGAACAAGACAGCTTTTGCCGGCTCGCAGGCCGTCTTATATTCCCCGTGAAACCACCACCCATAACACACACCCCACTTCCCAATAGGTTATTTACAGGGGCCGAGAGTTCCATAGGCTCATGGCCGGAACCTAGCCCCCTGATTGGTGCGGGCTAGGATCCGCATAGTCTATTGTCTCTAAGAGCAAAGCTCGACGTTGTGCTTGACCACGTGGAGCCCTAGCCAGCCACGCGGTCTGACTGGATATATTACAGAATGTCTGATGCAAGGCCACCCAACAAGCATCATGGCAGAGTGAAGAGTGGGGCCTGCCTCTCCCAGATCCTAGCTGCCTGTTTTCCACACACTGAATGGTGAAGTCTGCCCATGGAAGCTCCTACTGAAATAATTCTAGTTAGTGTCTGAGGTGCTACTGCACCGTTGGTTTATTTTGCTTCATTAGGGCTCACACAGCTACCCCTTTGTCCGGATTTTCTTACCCTTTCGCGTGAAGTCTCTTAAGTGTGCTTTCCCATGAGGCTGTGTACCAGGGACTGGATTTAATAGCATTTTACTTCTAATGAAACAAATGAAAATGTGCAACCATATTTCACAAGAACATAAGAAGAGCTGAGCTGGATCGGATCAGTGAGGGTCCATCTAGTCCAGCATCCTGCCTCACACTGTGGACCTCTGGAGGTCCAACCACAGGGCACGGAGGCCAAGGCCTTCCCCTGATGTTGCTTCCTAGCACTGGGATTGAGAGGTTTAGTGCCTCTGAACATGGAGGTTCTCCTAAGTCACCAAGGCTAGTAGCCACTGATAGACCTCTCCTCCATGAATCTATCCCTTTTTAAAGCTGCTTATTCCTGTAAGAACAAAATTGTTCTCTTTACCAAAATGTAGAGGTATTTTCCTCAATGCATATATTACTGGTAATATAACAAGTTTTCAGAAGTGAGATTTTGAACATCCTGTGTCTGGAGCTGCAGTTGACACTGTATTGCCTAGCCTAGCATATAGAACAGTTTACCAATGGTGAGGTCTTGCTTTATATCTCTTACTGTATTCTGAGGAGCATAAATTTCTTTATTACTCTTCAACAGCATTGAACCAATCAGGAACTGGCTTTACAAGAAGATGAATCCAAGAGAAACGGATCGTCTTATTAATTCAGTAAGCACAGTATGAATTGTCCTCTAACACCGGCTTCTTTCACCCCATTTTAATACTTTCAAGACTATACTGAGGTGTCATGTAAGCTCAGGCACAGTTTGATTTTGTGTGTGTGTGTAATGCTAGCAGTCCTAAAACTGAATTATACGCTTCTAAGCGTGAGGCTAGAATGGTGTAAATCTGTTTAGGAATGCCCTGTTCAGGTGAGTTCACACATGCATGAGGATCACATGATGAGCACAGTGTCAGTTAATGACTTCCCTTTGTGAAATTAATGACTTCACGGAGCATGGACAGAACTTGTATATCACCTACCATCATTTCAAATATACTGTATTTACTCAAAAGGAAGACTGAGTTTTCTCCCCTTGGTGTGCTGTCAAGAACTTACATTCACATGCAAGTTGCAAGTAGGTAGAGTTTTTTAAAAAACCCTTTTTGTGAATAACGTTTCTGGGGGGGGGGGTCGTCTTACATCCAGGGTTTGTCTTCCTTTCAGGCAAATACAATAGGCCCTTTTCATGGGAGCCATTCATCTGTGTGCAAGAAACTGCTTGAGATGTGTATGGCTATGAGTCAGCCCTTTAATGCATTAGGGAAGAGGACAAAAGTGTTCCGTGGTGAATCTTTAGCAGACTTCCATAGTAACTGTCGGTCACGGATGGCTAGTGGGTCTTGAATCCCAGCCTCTCTCTCTCTCTCTTTTTTGAATGAGTCAATATTCAATTTAAAATGTTTGTGTTCTAAAATGGATGTATTTTCCTCCCCTGAAGATCAAAGTTGGCCCCGCCAAAAGAAATCCAGTAGATTAGCAACCGCTGTGACTCCAGCCAGAGCCTGTGTCAGGCTCCTGGTTCAATCCACTCGTCATCTCATCATAGTCTTTATTAAAACTAAGAGTAGTGATACACAGAGAGATTCTTTGTTCAGACTGACTAAAACATCTAAGATTACAACTTGTATAGGTAAAACAACAGGACAAACTCCCATGATCCTCTTCATGCATTGCCTTGCACCAACTGGTCCTTTTGAAGTACAGAGGAAAGTTCCCCCCCCCCCCCATTCCCATGAGAAAGTTAACACCAGCCAACCGCTCTATGCACACACATCCCCCCCCCCTTTTCACCTCTCCTTCCCTGGGTTTATGGCAGATCCGGCTGAAGGATCAAACAGGCATTTGGCAGAGTCATTTACATAGCAGGACGGTGTTGTCAGAACCCACAGCCAACAACGAAGTACACGCATTCAGGAACGGTTATACTTTTATTGCAAAGCTATAGATGCAGTAACACAGGCACTGTTAGGAATGGCCGCAGCCAGTAGAGCATAATAGGATGTAGGGTATTCGTATGCACCCCCCCCCCATGGCATTGGCCAATCAGGCACCCTCCCGCGTCCGGGATAATCAGGCAACCATTAGCTGGCTAAAGCTGAGAACCAGGAGTCTCACGGTATATAGGAGCCCTGCAGACAACACAACCTCCTCCTGCACATCTGTAGAGATAAGTGTTTCAGCAAAGGCAGAACATCAAGGATAGGAATGCAATAGCAATTAGTGTTCTTGGTGGACAGAAAGAATCACCAGAGGTCAAATCCCATCCAGAGGACTGCTTTGCATCAGCGTATTTTTTATAGTCACATTTAGCCTTGTCCAACGTTTTCCTCAACACCTCCCAGTTCTTGGTAACATTATGCCACCACAGTTGCGCGTCCCCCTCTATGGGTTGGGAGAGGTCTACCAACGGGAGAGGAACCCCCTCGTACCCGTACACCACCTTAAACGGGCTCATCCCCGTGGATGAGTGAACAGAGTTATTATATGCAAATTCAGCAAAAGGTAAAAGTTGCACCCAGTCAGACTGTTGATGGTTTGTATAACATCGCAAGATTTGCTCCAACATTTGGTTTGTCCTTTCTGATTGTCCATCAGTTTCAGGGTGATGACTTGACCCCACCCCCCTTTCTATGCCCAAGAGCTTCGTGAGCTCCTTCCAAAACCTCGAAACAAATTGCGAACCTCTGTCAGATATTAATTTGCGCGGGATCCCGTGCAATTTGACGACATGCTGCAAGAGCATAGCGGTCAGTTGCTTGGCCATGGGGATAGATCTGCATGGCACAAAATGGGCATGCTTAGAGAATAAATCAACTACCATCCAAATTGCCGTTTTTCCCTCACCCACAGGCAAATCAGTAATGAAGTCCATAGAAATGACAGCCCACGGACTCTCTGGGGTTTCTAGTGGTTGGAGGAGCCCCGGCACCTTACCTCCCCGCCTTTTACACACCAAACACATTTTACATTCGCTCACAAACTGAGAAACTGCCCACCGGACCTCCGGCCACCAGAGCTGGCGGAGGATCAGGTGCAGAGTCTTCAGGTAACCAAAATGTCCCACTAGCTTTCTGCAATGACATTGCGACAGCATCATTCCCTGTAAGGTTTCAGGGACATAAATTTTGTCCCCCTTCGCCCAAAGACCATCCTCCTGATGCTCCAGCCCCTCCGCCAATACAGTTTCTAAGTCTTGAGGGGAGGAGGCAGAGATAAAAGTTTCTAGCCAGCCCGAGTCTTTCCCCCCGGCACCACAGCCTCGCCCGCTCAACTGGTCTCCCCCTCCCTTGCTTTGCTGTGAGTGATCATAGCCCCCTCCCCCCCAACTGCACTGTGGAGAAAATAGTGTCCATCACCTCCTCCCTCTGACTCGCATGTTGCTCTGACTCGTTGGCTTCTCTTATGTTCTTATAGGAACTCTCAGGCTGGGGCAAGGGATGCTCTGTCTTCTTGGTGCTTCGGGGGGGGTCAACAGTGGGAGGGCTCCAGGCGTCCCGGCCCCACTGCTGGACCTCCTGATGGCACCTGGTATTTCTGGCCACTGTGTGACAGACAGAGTGTTGGACTGGAGGGGCCATTGGCCTGAGCCAACGTTGGCTTCTTCTCTTATGTTCTTATGGTGGGAGAGGATAACATTGCTCTTATGGAACCACTGCCACCTTCACAGCTGGGGAGTACTGGAGCAGGGTCTCCTGTTGGATTTGGTAACACAGTGGGGAACAGGAGATTACAAAGAAATGCATTTTCTGAACGGGCTGCACTTTATTCAGACCATCAACAACATTGCAGATTTTACTCTGTTTTCTATGTTTTCAAGGAGCTTGGCTCCCCGAGACAGACAGACTCCATCAGCGGTGATTTGCCACCAGGGGTGTGGCGCACGGGGCCCACCGTACCCAGACTTCGTTCCCTGGATACGTTCAGAGGGTAACTTGCAGCTGTGGGGAATTTCCTCCTGTTTATTTTAAATGTTTGCCAGAGTGCTAGTGAATTAGCAACATACAGTGTAACTACTCTTAACCATTTCCTGCACTTGTAGGGCCCTGGGGGGAAGACATGCTTGCGTCAGAGAGTCTGGGGCCATGTTTCAGGCCGTCTCCCTTACGTCTGAGCCCACCCTGCAGAACAGCAGGAGCAGAGCAGGCTCAGCCTGAAGGGGGCTGGCCTGGAACAACGTGGTCCTTGTCTCCTATAATGCTAACATGGAGAGAGACTACAAAGAGGAGACGAGACTAGGAAATACTTGTTTAGAGGGCCAGTGATGTTAGAAAGCTGGAGGGCCTTGGCTTGTAAATGTTTTCTTCTTCTTCTTCTTCTTCTTTTTGGTTTTCTTTTCTTTTTTTGCTTTAAACCAGTTTCAGTTCCCTTTGTATGCAACAGCAAAACTGCATGGCTCACAGGTCAGTTTTTAAAAAGTAAATGCTGCTGCCTCATCTTCAGGGCTTCTGTGCAGTCCCACATGGGAGTGCTGTTCTGCAGGCCTGCCACAGAGAGGCGCTAGCGAGCGTCTTCAGAAAGCTCCAGGCTCTCCGGAGTGCGCCTCCCTCCCTCCCTCCCTCCCTCCCTCCCTCGGAGAGAGACGGCTGAACTTCCCACCCAAAGTCAGCTGACCGAGGGGCAGGAGCACTCCCCCCAGTCAGTCCTCTGTTTGCCGCCTGGTCGAGGGGATGTGTCCAGCAAGCTGAGATGTCAGCCTGTGAGGAAAAAAGAAAGACATTTTTTTAATAGTGAGACTTTTCTGTTAAAAAAAAGGAAGAAGAACTCAAAGATAGAATTCCACTCCGTGTGGCAGTGAGAAAAAAGGTCACAATTGCATCTTTCTGCTGAGGGTTCAAAAAAATTACCTCGGGCTTCACTTACGTCCCCTTTCAGAAAGTGTTCGGAGTGCAGGGTCAAGATGGCTCAGAATGATCAGCTCTCTTCCTGTCTGCTATGCCTCAGTGAAGGGCATGTAGCTGCCTCCCGTGCCTCCTGTAAGCTCCGAACCCCAAGGGCGTGGGAGGGCAGAGCCAGCTGATTGAAGGCTGTGTTGTGGGAGAAGGCTTTGAAGCCGGCAGCCTCCACTGGGGAAATGGCAGTGCCACGAGGGTCCACTGAGGCTCTTCCTCCTCCTCCTCTGACCCTGATACCGGCCCCGACTCTGGGGCCTTCCGCCGCTACTGCTCTGACACGGTCTTCCACTGAGCCTCCTTATAAGAAGTGGGAAAGGGCAAAAAAAGACCCGCGGAAAGGCTCTCCGTCTCCCAAGGGTGAGAAATTGGCTCGGCACTGTCGCTCCCTGGCTTCACCATCTCGGCGCCATAGTGACAGTCGGGGCCAAGATGGTTTGCCCGCTGTTCCCCACCGTCGGCATCCGGTGATGATGTCATGGAGGTCTGCCCTGCCCAGCCTGCCATGCGTTGTCGAAACATGCTGTATCTCATCAGCCACCTTGTGGTTGTCTGGTGGTGTTACCTTGTGACATATGTGGGATGTGGTTTCTCCGTCCTGCTGCACATATTCCAGGTCTTCTTGATCCCAAATCCACTCGTCGGTGTCTACGTGCCCTCGATGTTGAGCCTCACGGTTCTGATTCTGGAATGGGATATGATGTCGGCTCTACTCGTGGTTCTGAGACATCACTGATGCCACCTCCTGATGAGGCTGTCAATCAATCAATCAATCAATAAACCTTTAATGGCATATAATGATGAGGCTGTCGCACGGTTTTTGGCCCCATCACCTACTGATGACATTAAGTTGTACTCAGAGCAAATAATATGCACGGCCAAAGCTCTGAATATTGAATAACTCTCAGTGGACTCTAAGTCTGATGATCCAGTAATGGACATATTGTTTACTCCTGACTCAGGACCTGTAGCACTGCCTTTTACTAAGGCCATGCAAGATGTTGCTTTTGGGCTCTGTGCCAGGCCTGCTTTGACGGCAGCCTCCACTAAAAAATTGGAGAACCAGTACAGGTTGAAGGAAGATACCTGCCCATACCTGCCCATACCTGTTCGAGCATCCTAAAGCTAATTATGTGGTTGCAGCTGTTCCTCCTGCTAGAGGGTGTTCAGGTTCCCAGTTCCCATGGATAAAGAGGGAAGGAAGGCCTATGCATCTAGTTCGATGGGGCTACAAGTGGCCACTTTTTTGGCTATAATGGCTAGTTACCAAGTTGTGTTATGGGGCAAATTAGCACCCATCATTTAATCCCTGCCTTCAGTTCAACAACCACTAGTGAAGGCTTTAATACAGGAAGGTATCAAAATGGGTAAACAGCACCTATCTTTAAATGGTGGCATTTTAAGAATGAAATGTGTATTCATCCGAGTGTTCGCTGTATAACACTACCTTGCTTTTTGCACCTTTGCAGGCTGGCTCTTGCAATTATGGTCTTTGTGAATTATGGTGGAGGAAAGTACTGGTTCTTCAAGCATCAGAGCTGGAACGGTAAAGTGTGCTTTGGAAGTCCCCACAGTCAGGGCCCCAAATGCCTTGTGGTCCTTTCTGCTGTTAAACCATCCTGCAAATGCCTCCTCATTCAGCTTCCACTGAGCCCTTTCCTGGTGTTTTGACAAAGTCCAGGCTATTGTTCACAAATACTGTAACAAACAATGAATGTAGCAGCCTAGAATCCCTAGGATTTAAGTGTTGGAGCCTAAATGAATGTTGCATGCAAATTCCTGCAGCCAAACCCTACCTGCCTTTTTTTTGGGGGGGGGGGAAGCTACTACAGACCAGACTAGTCAGAAAAGAGGAGTGCTTAACGGGAAGACGACACGGACAGGTTTCAGTCTCTTCTGTGCTCTAAAACAGCAGTTGCCGGTCTTTTCAGCATGGTGACCCACAAGTCTACTTCATATGGTGATCCATAGAAGACTGGCCTGAGGTAACTCTGGTTCAGCATTCCATTTTCTACAGTGGCCAACCAGATGTTTCTGAGAAACCAAGAAGCCACAAAGGGCGTAGCTGCCCTTAACTACAAACCCCGAGCAAGTGGTGTTCCAACATGCACAGCCTTTGCATATGGAGGTTTCATGCCAGTCTTTAACCAGCCTCTCCTCCATCACTCCCTCTTACCCCCCCCCCGATTCTAAGAAACTCACTCTAGTGCCCGTCAGGACACATTTTACCTGATCAGCAAGTATATTCATGGAATCATAGAATCATAGAGTTGGAAGGGACTTCCAGGGTAATCTAGTCCAACCCCCTGCGCAATGCAGGAAATCCACAAATACCTCCCCCTCCACACCCGCAGTGACCGCTGTTCCACACCCAGAAAATGACAAAAAACCTCCAGGATTGCTGTCAGATTCCTGGTTAGATCAGTTCTCAACACCAGCCAGTTTGTAGAAAGCTAACTTTAGTGAGACAACCTAAACACATCTATTGTTAGAACTGAAGTTAAACACGCGAAGGCTACAGATATAGGGAATTCAAGTAAAAGCACTTAAGATCAGGCCCAATCATCCCCCCCCCCCCCCCCCTTTCCCCCCCCC